CAATACTGATTTCGGAATGAGTATGTGGCAATGCTAGGCCAGTAGCCTCCCCTCACCCATAGTTGTACGCAACCATTGTTTCAACCTGCAAAGAGTTGAAAAACTACGTTCTGCCGTAGCATTTCTATTCTCACAGCTGGAAACATCTATTGGTCGCAATAATTTTGAAATCATGGCTTCATACTCCTTGTTCATACTCCTTGTTCGCCTAAACTCAACACAGTTAGGTAAATAAATTTGACGTAAATAAATTAATTAATTTCAATCTAAATGGCGAATTCCATTTTCTTTTTCCTCTTTTTGAAAACTTTGCTATTACTCCCTCGATATCAATACTGATTTCGGAATGAGTATGTGGCAATGCTAGGCCAGTAGCCTCCCCTCCTCACCCATAGTTGTACGCAACCATTGTTTCAACCTGCAAAGAGTTGAAAAACTACGTTCTGCCGTAGCATTTCTATTCTCACAGCTGGAAACATCTATTGGTCGCAATCATTTTGAAATCATGGCTTCATACTCCTTGTTCATACTCCTTGTTCGCCTAAACTCAACACAATTAGGTAATGCGATCGACAACTTGAGTTTATTTGAAGGCGACGATTAATTATTTACTAAATTAATTTTTGAATAAAATAATTAATACATGACTGAATAACATAATTTTTTAATTTTGATTTAATTGGGAGTTATTAATATTTATTTGTTGCTTCTGAATTAACTAGTTGGAGTTGGCGATCGCTTAATTCCCTCTAAATAAAAGTTTGGGCTGGCCAGACACGCGGCCAAGATAGAATCGTAATCGTCGGTTGTGCACCTATGCAAGTAGCTAAGATAAGTTGGTATATACTATTATGGCCATGAGCAGTAAAGACCCGAAGCGAAAGATGTTACTTCCGAGAACGCGAATCAAGATATCGAGGGTGGCGATCGCTTAATTGCCTCTAAATAAAAGTTTGAGCTGGCCAGGCCCGCGGCCAAGATAGAATCGTATTCGTCGGTTGTGCACCTAAGCAAGTAGCTAAGCTAAGTTCGTATATACCATTATGGCCATGAGCAGTAAAGACCCGAAGCGAAACGTGTTACTTGCGAACGCGAATCGAGATATTCTAATGAACAGACGGGGTACAACGACCCCCACAGATGTTGCCTCATGCGTAAAAGGCAACACGATGTCAAGGCTTGAAAACAGTTCAGTGGTTCAGTCAGGACGCAGCTGGAGCTCGTCACGAAACTTCGGGTCTATTTTCCCGTGCCTTAAGACGGGGACATAGCACGGTTCTGCAGGAAGAGCCGTACAGGTAACGTTTACGGATGACAGAGAAGGCAACACTACTTACATGACGAAGCCGGGAGTGCTTGACGGTCACAACAGTCAGATGGTGGCCACAAAGGGACCTACGGAGCAGTAACATTTTCGTGTCCCATGCAACAAGCCTGGGAAGCGCAGGGTGCAGAGCCTGAGCGGCCAGGAGATGCCGCTTCAGAACCTTAGTTGGTCGGAAATTTTTGATACAATAATATGCATTTTTTATAAACAAAATTTTGAGGAAAAGTTTCTTTCTTAGACAAAATACAAATATTGGATGATTTTCGATCGTTAAGTTAAATTGCAGCTGCAGATATGGCAGTATGCAGATCCTTATGAAATTTGATAAGTCGTAGTATTTTGCCAAAAATAGAATCCATGAAATCCAGCTTAAATATATAACTCAACGTCTAACTAAAATCAGCCAAGTTATGGCATATTAATAAGTTATATGGAAGTAATACGCCAGTTGTAGTCAGCCGATCCAGGTAATGACCAAAATATGAAAATATAGAAGATAAAAATTACCCTCCTTCCATTAACGCAGTCAGCAAGAACACTCAAATATTAGCACAAAATCCAGTCAGTGGGGGGCAAAACGCACAAATGTTTAAAATTTAAGTGTATGCGTAGCAGCAAAACACAATGAGAGCAGAGCAGAGCGTTCACTTAGCAAAAAAAAGTTTTTTTTTTTAGTTTTTGGAATGGGCTCAAAAATAAATGGACTTTGGAATGGATTTTATTTTAAAGAAAGCTTTTTTAGCAACAGTTCTTAAACAAATGAAAAACTACGCTTCTCAACCTATAATTTCCTATGAAAAGAAAATTATTCCAACCTAATTTCTGAGAAAATTTCATTGGAAACATTTTGTTTATTAAATATGGGCTGTTAAATGAGGAAAAAAATGGGGGCATATGAGAGAGCTTCTAAAAAATTTGATAGTGCTCAAATTAAGAGTGACAGTTCCGGCACCGCTGCGGAAAAATTAGGCCCTGTACACGCGTGCTATGGAAAAAGAGAGTTTGCTCCCCACTGGTTTATGTAGCCCATACATAGACTATGTATATGTATATATACCATGTATATGCCCATAGTTTCCCATATGCCCATCCTAGATATATATCTATATATCTAAGTAATATATCAAAAAGGTGATATCTCAAGGGCTTTTTTCCAAAGTAAAAATATTAAAATTCTTATAGCAAATTTAAAGAAAAAATCAATTATTATTTCATAATAGAACCAATTTATTTTAATACAAAATCTAAAAAAAGTTCCAAGCTTTTATCTTCAAAAATACCCAAGTTGGTGTTTTTACCAAAAACCAATTACCATTTCGAATCGTAACGACAGCTGCAAGGTATATTCGGCCGATCGTTATTTGGTCTGATCTCTGATCAACTGACCAACAATAGAATCTGAACGAAGTTCCAACTTTCTATTTTCAAAAACACGAATTTTGAATGCAACTTTATATTTTCAAAAACACGAAAGTTGCATTCAAAATTCGAACTATCAAACTTTAAAAGCACGAAAGTTAGCTATGGCTTACACCAAGAAAACACCAAAGTTAGCTGCCGGATCAGCTATGACCGTAGTAAACATCACGGCTCAACAGACCCGGCTCAGATCTCCCATTTCTCCATGACCTTAGCCTGAGTAACCTACACCACATTGAAGCCATTAGAGAAAAACTGTCATCGGGATCACTCCTAAACAGCAGCTTTACTAGCCGTCGTGTTACTATGCTCCATCTCGTGGGTTACTTGTGGTTGCTTGTAGGTTACATAGGAGCACGGTAATGCTCCTTAAGGCCAGTCGCCCCATAAAATCAAAGCCGATTCGGTTGAAATTTCGACAGTAGCCATCTAGAAAAATGTGACGCCATCGGGCGGTGAGGCTAAGTACTTATCGGACTGCCCTCGTAATAAGAATTAATTAAAAGAAAAAAATATTTTATTTTTTATTTTTTATAGAAAATTTTTAAAAATTTATTTTATCTAGAAATATGGGAGTCAAACCACTATTCTTCTAGTTTCTGTAATTTGGCTCAGTCAAAGCTTAACAATCATTTTCAAAGTGCAAGCGAAGGAAAAAAAATATGATCATAAAAATTATGCCAAATTTTGACATATTCAATTTCTATGGTTCGCAGATATATTGCAGTACAAAATGAGTGGAAAAAAGAAAGCTCGGATTTAACGCACCGAAAAAATTCATAGTAAATTTTTGTATTTTCCTATTATTTTCGTGAAGTACACACAAAACCAATGCGGTGTTCAAACACCTGTAAGGAGATTTAATCTCCCCACACGCTAAGACAGGTGGCGTGGGGCAAAGTCAAGGAATGGGGGTTGAGGGGGTGCGAAAGCGGTCAAGCGCTGGGACTACTTCACACATGCAGTACGAGGGGATGGGGGGAAAGTAAAGATGAGAAGCCTAGCCGCAAGACAGAAGGAGCAGTGAGGGAGGCAACGCGCCGGGAGAAAGCAGAGAAGACGTGGAACGTAACGGTTCTCTTGCATTAAGTCTAGAAGTAACATAGCATAGAAATGGGAGAGAAAAACTGGATATATACACTTAAAAAGGAGAAGCTGGTCGAAGTGTGCAGAGAACTCGGTCAACCAGTTCAAGAACTCGGAACTTGTGGCGAAATGGGTCGACAAGTCCAAAAACGGCGAAGTGCTAGCGTTAACGCGAGGGTACGAGGAGAGGTTCGTGCACGTGTCCCCCTCCAGGCAGAGAGCCACCAGCGGGACCGATAGACTCATAGGGATTTTGGCGGAACCGGAGCCAAGAGTAGGAAAGAGCATGGAGTCACAGTCAAGGACGTATGTCCCGGTTCCGGTGGACTACGCAAATCTCGGCGTCCTATTAGACGCTAAACTTAAATTTTCCGAGTATATTTGCACAACGGTTTATAAGGCTAAAGGACTCCTTGGTTTCATTGAAAAGTAGTCAAAAGAATTTAATGCATTTTACTAACACGCCCAGCATTTACTAATACGTTTAAATTTTAACATTCGTAATAGAAGGACTAGAAACTGTAGTCCTCTATTCCTTAGCTATTGTAGTTCGACATGTGCACAGCACGACCCTTTTAGGGTCTTATGCTCGAACTACAATGGTCTCTACTCTAGCTTAAAAAAAATAAAAAATAGCCTAATAAATAGTACATAGCCTTGGTCGTTTGGGCCTCTAAGCTTTACGATGAATACAGGAATGCCAGCTGATGCTCTAATTGATGCACAAGCCATTTCCAAAATTCTGAAAGACCGCGAAAAAAAAAAATATATATATAAGTGAATGATCGGAAATGACCCAACTATGGTATTTTTAAAGATATAAACATGGAACTCTTTTTCTTTTTAATTACCCTTAACTGCTAGGGTATATAAACTTCGGCTCTCCCGAAAGCTTTCCTTTAACTACTTTAGTTATAGTAATTTTTTAAATAGTACTTTTTTTTACCACTAATATTCTTTATGGGGTATTAGAAAACTATGCATGCAATTTAGCTTCAAAATTTTTACTTTTGGAGATAAATTTGCTCATACTGATATATAGATGGACGGAAAGACAGATTACTATATTCCTTCTGGAGTACCGGGCTTAAAAAAAAAATTATAAATAGTTAAAAAGATGAAATTAAAAGCACCATTAGCTATTTATTGTATAAAAGATAATGTTTACCTTCATATCGTCCATGCAGATAGGGTTAATCATATCATCAATACAGATATGGCTGTCTTCTTCTTGTATATCGTGGCAATAGCTGGGTGTCCACAGTATATTGTCATTGGAATCTTGGCCGTTTCCAGCCAAGAAAGCTGAACCTTTTTCTTCTTTCTTTAAAGCTTTATCCATAGCTGTAATCTTTTTAAATCGCTGAATATCCAATTCCGTTGCTCTTCGTTTCACCCTCACCAAATTCCTATTGAGTTTAGTGTGCGTACGTGACTGGGTACATATGATATTGTTAGCACGGATATAGCTTCGGTCGATCGATGGTTGCAAATTTTCTCTTTTATTACCTAATAGACGTGCACCGGATTTATGTTGTCACAACATTTCATTTTGATGTTCAGTGCTATTTCCATGGTTCTCTTCTAAATCAAAATCGTGGCTTTCCAATTCCAACTCCATATCAGCCTCATCATTAAAGGTTTCAAGAGGCGACAACGCTGTTGGATGAAGATGTGCATAACTATCTTGTGTTAAGCTGTTGCTTAATGAGTGATTATTGCTTGTGGTCAGGCATTGTGTTTGACTAAGGCTGTGAATTCTGTCTTCATCCTGTCCATCACGCTCTTGTTGACGGTTTTGAATTAAATGAGTTTGATTTTTTATGTCATCATCCCGCCATTTATCCATCGATCTTCTACGGGCATTCATAAAGAAATTTCCTACGGTAGTTGGCTCTAAACCTAGTTGACGTGCTATAGTGACTTGCATTTCCTTTGATGGTCTTTTGGTCTCCTTAATATAATATAAATATAGTGTTTGTAAATAAATATTCATTAACTAAAACTTACTTTAAAAATTGCTTGTAAAGTTCGTCGCTGGAGATCTGTAAAAACTAAGCGTGGCTTTTTTGGTTGCGTTATGTGCTCGATTTGCGGCTCTTCCTTTCGCCGACAATTTGCGCTAGTGATGGGGAAATTACAGCCAGGGGCATTTGATGCAGTTGATCCGTCTAGTAGATCTGAAACTTTTTTATGAAAATAAGTTTAAAATTTTGAAAATATGTCAGTATAAATTTCATTCACCGTTTGGAGAAATTGTGGAAGCAAGATTTGAATCCATCACGGTCATTGTCACTGTAGAACTTGGGGACAATGCTGTTGATCCAGAAGTACTACATAATGATGTTCCCACAACCAACTGTGCACGTTGGGGAATTTGAGCGGCGGCCATCCGGAGTGCTGACATGCGCTGAAATTCTGGTTCTTGTAGCCATTTATGCATTCTGCGGAACGTTTCTCGGCCAGATTTCAGCTTGGACCATGGCTTTGGGTTACGAAGAAGATCTGAGAGGGTACCTTGTGAGCGACATAGGACACGTTGCGCAAAAATTGCTTGTGGTATACTATATCTCTTAAGCTCAGCAGATATGCGCTGGGCCAATTCTTTTGTATTGATCTCTTCCAAGTCATTGCAAACGGATGTGCGGCTAGTTCCTCCACTAGCCGCAGAAATATGCTTCGGAGAACTAGAAGCACTAGTTTTTATCTGTGTTTGAGCTCCTTGAAAGCCATTTGAGAGATTCGAATTGGTTTGATGGCTGGCACTACTTAAGTTTGAAGATATAATATTATTTGAACTTGACTGTTCTGTTGATGCATTGACTTCTTGAGTTTTCGATAAAAAATACTGTGGCTTTTGAGAAGACGATGTTCGTCGGCTTACTTTATGTAATTCTGTAGGTGGTGGTGGTGTTGGAGTTAGGGATACAACTACCGATAAACTTGACATTGAATTATTAACGTTGGGAAGATTAACAACCGATGTAGGTGAATGTAATGGCATTGACAATACGGATCCCCCTGAGACAGAGTGTGGACTCAGTGTGGGGCTGTGTTGTAATCCAACTGTAGAGCTAGTGGAGGAAGTTGTTCCCAGCACCAGCTCATGGTCATGGTGGCTTCCGCTGTAAGGCGTTTCATAATGACTTACTAATAAATTTTCGCCAATAACTCTAGTTGGTGAAAGGCAAACAACTTGTTTTGGTAATGTAACTGGCAGTAGTTGAAGTCCATGACATTGTTCATGATTTTGCTTTTGTTGATTTAAATGACCATGCCCAATAACATGGCCATCTTCATGACCGAGTCCTTGCAAATGCGTCGATAAGTTCTTCTTGTTGCCATTTTCATTAAGTGGAAGTCCCGGAGCATTGTGAGCCTGCAAGTCACAGGAAACGACCATCCCAGAGAGGCCACTCGAAGGTGAAGTAGAATAAGTATGGGACGGTGGAGAAATCATGGAGGATAACTTTTCATAAGAAGAAAATGGTGATTGAGCTTCACTTAATACACTTAGAGCAAGATGATTATTGCCTAAAGGAATGGAAAGGACAGGGACAGAATTGCAGTCATTATTGGCACACCCAGAAGTGTTGCCATTGCCACTAATGCATACATTATCACCAGATAAATTTCTAGTTTCCGTTCCATTGGGTACTCCTCCTCCACCTCTTCTACTATTGGCGTCTTCATCTCCTCCAGAAATATGACCAGAATATGCGAATTTTTCAGACATTGTTGATATAGGAGGTAGGGGTTGAATAGGAGTTAATGTAGCATATGAAGTTGGGCTAAACTCAGGTGGAGATAAACGATCATTGACCGAGGTAAGTGTCTGATACGAGCTGTGGTCTAAGACAGGGCTTAGTAACTGTACACGTTCATCATCTTCATCTTCTTCCTCCGCATCGGCATCCGCATCGTCATTAACGTCTCTTTGACTTTCTTCATGTAAATCTTTTTCACGCTCTTGCGCCTGAACAATAACCGATAGAACCTCACCATGCACACCACCTAGTGCCAAATCCAGTTGAGTTGATCTTTGAAGCTGTCCATTAAGTGTTTCATCATGAGGTTGATGGTGCGAGTGAAGTCTTTGCGGACAATGGGGTTGTTGTTGCAGAAGTTGTTGGTGGTGTTGATTAAGGGTAACCTCGTCATCATCGCTTCTTCCTCCTTCAGAAGACAAGTCCTCCATTTCATCGATTTCAACACCAAGACTCATATTAACGATAGTTGAATCTACTTCAGTATGACTGAAGCTGTTTGTCCGCGCCTGCCCTCTAGTATTTATTATATTAAGCTTGGTTTCCTGCTTCATTTGAGGCAGTACAGCATTTGATATAGTTTCCACTGTCAGCGAATCTAAGCTTATATCTGATGCAGCAAAATCTATTGGGCTGCTAGCTATGCGAGCATTGCACTCTTGCTCATGACCTCCAGGTAGTAGTCCCAAAGGCAATACCAACCTTCTTGGATTGTGTCGCGAACCAGTCGGATAAACTGCCTGTTCATTTTGTTGGCCCAAATCAACAATGACCATATCAACAGAATCCCGCCTAGATCCGCACCCTGAACCTTTTCTACCGTCATTTAAAATATTCTTTGCTGGGGAGGCAATCAAATTTTGCATTAGGTGTGACTCGCCGTGGTTGGAACCATTCTCTGCAGGAATTAGTGGAGACTGAGATTGTGATTCCGAATTATTCCCAACCGTGATAAACTCAGTGGGATTGTTCATCAGTCGCTCATCATATATTTGACGATCTAATATTTCATTCAACGAGTCCATTCCTTACAAGTTTTAAGGGAACTGTTTAATTGGTATCCAAAAGTTTCTGAAATAAAAAATTGAAATATAAAATTCGATAAAATAATTTTTAGCCTATTGTATTTTATTTTAGTAGGTCCACCTCTATATCATCTCCAATCTAGGGTCAATATGACCGTTCGTCTGTGTGTTAGTGTTTTTATACCCTTGCAGAGAGTATTATAATTTTGTGTGTGCAACGCAGTGAAGGAGATATCTCCGACCCTATTAGGTATATACATATATTCTTAATCAGTATCACCTACTGAGTTGATATAAGCATGTCAGTCGGCCCTAGTATCTACTAGTCTCTCAGTTTTTAAGCTATCAACTTATACTATCAACTTAAATACTTAAATACTTTAAGCTATCAACAGTCCGTCTGTCTGTTTTTACGCAAACTGGTCTATCAGTTTTAAAGCTATCGACTTGAAACTTTGCACAAACCTTTTTTTGCACACAGTATATATAGCTGCCACCCTATAGCTGCCATAAAACTGATTTAACGGAAATGGTATAACATTTATGTTTTTAAAGTTAATGAGTTCGGCTTTAGCATGTGCTATTTTTGTCAATATATTATGACATATTAAATTTCATAGGGATCGGCCGACTATTTTCTATAGCTGCTTAACTTAGCTTAGCTTGCATCGTAAGGAAGAAGAAACAGTTATAATCCAGAGATTTCATAATAATCGGCCAACTGTTTCTAACATTTTCATACATCCTAACAATAGAAACCACATTGGACATTCCTTTCATTCATTATAAAAATTTGACTTATTGCATAACTTTGCAATCCTTTAAAAGAGTTTTATATATAAAATATTTATTTATATAAAAATATATGGGTCTTTCATGTACATGTATCTTTATATATATTTTATTAATATATGTGTATACATAAATATATATGTAACATATATTTTTATATTTTGCATTTTTATATAATTTTATAATATAGGTTTTTTAAACAATCCCCTAGATGTTGGTTTTGGCATTTCATTTTAGATACATTTGTATGTACTTATGTATATTATATTATTTTCGTTTGTTGGGTGCAATGCATATTGTTGCCATCGACGCCGACTTTAAGGGTGGCTTTTCTCGCCAAGACAACACTTATAGGCACATATACACCAATATATATACCATTTATAGTCATGTTAATATACTCACATACAAAAAAACGAAACATAGTCTTAGGTTTGCTTTCACTTTAAGAATACATATTTCTAATTTCCGTTTACAGTGCATGCTTTTTTTTTACATGCCGTTTTTAGTGTTTTTTTTAACTATTCACTGTTATTAGGGTCAGTTGCAATCTCATATCTTTTTGAAAGCAATAAAAACGGTACACAAGTTGATGACAAGGTTATGAAGGCAACATATCTTATGTAAATAAATAACAAAACCGAAAATTTGTTCTAAGTGTTCATTTAATAGAAACTTGGTAGCTTTGACAGGTATATTTTCCCTTTTAAAATCAATTAAAACTTTTGCTTGCAAAATTCTCTACGCATGTACATATATATATATGCACACATGAACAAACATATGGGTGATTTTTCCGAAACTCTTTTATTTGTCCAGTACAATCCTTTAAGTTTCAGCCGTACGCGAATTACACCCAATTCCAACTGAAGGAAATCAAACTTAACAAAACGGAATGGAAGTAAAATGAACAGCCACAAAACACCACCTTTTTTCTGGGGGTTGTGAAAAGCAGATACTACATCGTACGCTCCACTACTCCACCCCTAAATTAAGCGCATGCGCAACACAAATGGCCTCTAAACCAAAAGAAATTTAGCCCGGTTTCCTACAAAATATAGATTTTGAACTTTCCATTCGATATTGATATTTCCAATATTCACGAGATCAATTTATGGGAAATACGTTTTTTGTTTATATATAATAATATAATTGTTTTTTAATTAAAACTAAAATGTATAAAATATTGGTATAGTTCTATACAAAACTATATTTTCATATATTTTCATTTTATTTAAATCAATAAATTCACCTAATGGATTTTGTTTTGGTCCGCTTAAACAATATATTTTGCAAAACTATTACACAAACAAGAAAGGGAAGCTGATTTCGGGCGGAGCCGAAGATAATATACCCTGCGTCATTTCCGATTGTTCAGTTATATAGTTATATAGCTCAGTTCAGTTATATAGCTATAGGATATAGTCGGCCGATCCTTATTAAATGTGATAGGTCATATAATTTTACCAAAAATAGCACTCATGCAAAATCCAGACGTTCTAACTCTAAAAGCAGTATTTATTGGATATGTTCGACCGATATCGGCCGTTCCGACTTATATACGTGCAAGGAAAGAAGGGTGTGTGCAAAGTTTCGTTGAGTTGACGTTGAGTTGAGTACGATGATACCATTGCCAACGTCTTCTATTTCTTGTGTGTGTTCCGCGTTGCTGAAGTTACAGTATGTCCTAATACCCTTAGCCAATTTGGGAATACAATTAGTTGTAGTTAAATTAAAAATTTGATATTTGTTGCATATTTTAATATCTTTAAAATGTTTGCAAGAATTTGGTATTTCATAAAAGTTATTTTTATACCCTTGCAAAGGGTATTATAATTTTGTCCAAAAGTGTGCAACGCAGTGAAGGAGACACATCCGACCCTATAAAGTATATATATTCTTGATCAGGATCACCTCCTGAGTTGATATGAGCATGTCCGTCTGCCCGTCTGTCTGTCTGTTTCTACGCGAACTAGTCTCACATTTTGAAAGCTATCGTCTGAAAACTTTGCACACACCCTTCTTTCCTTTGCACGCAGTATATAAGTCGGAACGGCCCGGATCGGTCGACTATATCCTATAGCTGCAATATAACTGAAGGATCGAAAATGACCCAACTTTCGTGTTTTTGAAGATAGAAAGCTGAAACGTAGTACAGATTATATTTTTGATCAGTTGATCCAACCTACCAAATTTCATTAGGATTGGCGGACTATATCCTATAGCTGCCATATAACTGAACGATCGGAAATGGTTTTTGGTAGAAATACCAACTTTGGTATTGTTAAAGATAGAAGTTTGGGACTTGTTTTAAATTTTTTATTATAATAAATTGGGGTTATATTATCATATTCTCCTAAGGATCGGCCAACTATATCCCATGTTTGCGATATATATCCGGTTTTAACTGCAAGGGTATATCAACTTGGGCTCCGCCCGAAGTTAGCTTTCCTTTCTTGTTAAATTTATTAATTATTTATTATAAGTTTTTTATATGGATTACAGTATTATTTTGCTTGACCGGCTTGATGATAATGTTTTCATAATCAATTGATTCGAGTATAGGTATTTTAACCAAGTAAAGGAGTAGAGTTTTGTTATGCAATATCGAAACATCAGAAAATTCCAATAATTCTTCTATTGTTAGTGGTGGTAGATTATGACCTTTAAAATTTTTTTGTATTATATCTAGTTCTTCTTCATTGAGGAGTATTGAATTTATTATATTAACTCTTGCCCATTGTATTGCAAACCGAATATTAATAATTTCTTCCTTTATCAATCTCACCTGATTCTGAAAACTGATGGCTATTTCGTTACTTAGAAAACCATCTTTCTTGATAGCATTCGACAACTTATTTGACACCTCAGTGAGTTTATTTATTGCTCAAACTGCCTATTTATAATAATTTGCTGATCATTGTTTGAAATTAAGCTATCGAAATTATTTTCTATTGCGATAAGATCATCATGATCGGGGGTGCCGGCAACGTATTTCCAGGCCGATCCAATCCAATCTATGGATCTAGTTTTCCTACCACCAAATGATGAGGTTATCGCATTGAAATTGGTAAGAGCAAGTTCCACTTCATGGTGCAAGGTATTATATAAAGTATTTGTTTTTAGATCATTATAGGTGTAATCGCGTAATTTGTAGAGGGTAGTTTCTATCTGCTTAAGGTCTATTACATGGACTATTGTAGTTGTAGAAATTTGCATAATAACCTTAATAATGGTTCGGTGAAGTTCGTTATTTCCATAAAACCATTTACTGGTTTCAAATGCAGCATCAGTAATCTGTAAAAAGTATTTATTGTATTTTTAAATTACTCTTGTGTAAGATTCGGTTACTATTTTTCCAGATTCGGTTAGTATTTTTGTGCCCTTATCCTCTATAACTATTTCTTTAGCGTACCTTGGTGAGATATTTCATTTCGAATCTTGCACATCGTTTGACAAAAACTTCTGACTGATAATTTTGCACTGTCTTTCGGGTTTTATTGTGATTTTGTAAATCTAATTCTTGTTTCTGTTTAATTCTGTCAATGTTATCTTGCCTCGATTTTTCATAGGTTTCCGGATTTGTAGATACTTTCCTCCCAAAAAATATGCCAAGTGGTTTTTTTGCGGGCACTGAATGTAATGTGGAATTGTATTCGTAAATTGCCCTGTCCAACAGTTCCTCGAAAGTTCTCGTCTCCTGTTTAGCCCTGGGACAACGCATGATCTCTGAAAGTGTCGAGTGAAATCTTTCTATCTGTCCGTTTACAGAACTCTTGTAAGTTCCGTTTAAGTTGTAAGTCCGTTTACAGAACTCAGAAGTTTTGTAAGCGGCTTTGTAAATTTCTATATTTAATTGGTCGTGGAGAATGAATGTTATAGTTTCCGAATTAAATGATTTTTCATTGTCAAATACAATGAATTTTGGAACTCCATAGTGAAACACAATGTCATGTAATGGTTTTTTAATGTCTTGAATTGCTTTTGATTTAATGATTCTGGCCTGTGCGAGTTTCGAAAATTTATCTATTGCAGTTAAGACCAACTTCTTTTCCGTTGAGTAGATGTCTATATGAATTATGTGACCTGGATACTGTGGGGTTTCTTTTAGTTCTGAGTTCCGTGGGTTTAGATCATATTTTTGCTCTAAACATACCCTATATTACTCAATGAGATAACCGATCTTTTGTCTCATTTTTGGGAAGTCATATTTATCTGCTAACTGTACTTTATTTTTCTCCACTCCCCTGTGAGCTCTATTATGAACTTTGAGAATTTCTTCATCTTGTTCAATTTCTGTAAGTTGGTCTCTTGTCTGTAAGGTTGTGAACGATAACTGAACGATCATTTTCGATCGTTCAGTTATATGGCAGCTATAAGATATAGTCGGCCGATCCTTATGAAATTTGGCATGTCGTAATTGCCAAAAATAGCTTTCCTGTAAAATTTTAACTTTCTAACTCTAAAAACACCAAAGTTATACCATTTCCGATCAATCAGTTATATGGCAGCTATAGGATATAGTCGGCCGATCCGAGCCGTTCCGACTTGTATACTGCGTGCAAAGGAAAGAAGGGTGTGTGCAAAGTTTCAAGATGATAGCTTTAAAACTGAGAGACTAGTTCGCGTAGAAACAGACAGACAGACGGACATACGGACCGACCGACAGACGGACATGCTCATATCAACTCAGGAGGTGATCCTGATCAAGAATATATATACTTTATAGGGTAGGAGATGTCTCCCTCACTGCGTTGCACACTTTTGGACAAAATTATAATACCCTCTGCAAGGGTATAAATATATAGGTAAATTATATACAATAGCACAGATTCACTCTTAAAGATATATAAAAGAAGTTCCTGGTTTGATTTCGATCAGTTAATTTTCAAATTTTCAAAATGAAAACTTTCGTTTGTGATCTCTGTATAGAAAGTCCTTCCTTTAAATATCGCTATGGATTAAAACGTTACATTCTAAAAAAACACAACTTCAGCAAAACAAAAGCACGATCCTTATACTATTTTTCCTACTTCTGTCCTGAAGTGAAAACGTACTGGCTCCGAAGTGAATTATACACCCATTTCTTAATGGATCATCTAACGATATTAATGGAAATAATTAACTTAACACGAACTTCAAAATATTTCTTTTAAATTTCAAATATTGGATTCATTTAATTTCAAATAAATTTTAACTAAACCTTGATAAAAATAAAGTCCAAAAGTAATAAGTCCAAAAGTAATTTTTTTTTGATAAATTATTTATTTTTCATGAAATAAAAACAATTACATAATAATGAAATATGGTAATATAGTCTTTAATTTATTCATTATTTCTAAGCCAATCAATTAAAATTTTATCAAATTTCTCATCTATTAAACTTATATAATTATAAGTTTTCCGAATTCCTCGAATATATTTTTTTGAGAGTCCGGGGCATACGTTTTATCCTCGATGGTAGTTGCTGAATAATCCCATGTTGGTGTCAATAAATCGTATATGGATGACAGAGAATCATCCTCTAGATTCTTAAAAAGCTCATCTTGGGTTTTCTCCCCAATACCAATTAATGATAAAAGTGTTCGATACACAAATATCACTAAGAGCTGGTTGGGTATCCTCGAATATAATTTCTAGCTCGCTCATATTTTTGTTTTTTTTTTTTTTTTTTTGGAAAAAGAAAAAGCGTAAAAATTGCTTTAACCGGCAAGGCAAGATATATACTAAAAATTTGATTCTTAGCATAAACCTCAAAACCTATTGATCCTCGAAAACGGAAAACAGGTACTTGTGTTTGAATGTATTGGTATCATCAATACATGTACATGAGTTAACGCATGAAAACCACCCCAATTTCCCACACATTTTTCCGGTTAATGAATCGGGAAAACCAATCAGAAGACTCGAAAG